GGAAAGCTATAAACTTGGAGAGACATACTTCACATAGGGACTGGAGAGAGAGTATAGCAAGTTAGGTGCTAGCCTTGCTGAGTCAACCTGAGTGTCACCACAAAAGGTTCCCCCAAGCACTGCCAAGAGTGACCCCAGAGGCAGAGCTAGAAATAAGCCCTGGGAACCATTGGTTGTGAATCAACCTCCCCCCCCCCAATAATAAATTCATATTTTTAAAAACAAATTTCTGTCTGGAAGAGGGTATACTATAGGGGGCAGTTGAGTAGTAGAGGAAATCAAGTGCTTGATTAGGTGCTATTCTAGGTGCTAAAGATACGCAGTCAATAAAACAGATGAAATACAATGTGTCCTGTTCCCTAAGGCCACCGAGTGGACAGTGGACTACTGAAGTGAGTTTGTACTAGCTCATAAGAGCTCACTATGAATTTTTCAGGAATTGACAGCTGGGTTTTGAAATTTAGCCATCATTGAAAATTGAGGTAAGTCAGCACTACAAATCAATGTTAAATGTTCAAAATATATCATTTTCTAATTATCGTATTGCATTCTGCTACTCATGCTCTTGACATTGCTTGCATCAATTGTATCTTCATGAAAATATCCTATAGTGACATATTTCTGCATATTTCTTCTTAACTCTATCTTAAAAATATTTTTGTGGTAGCTAGAAGACGGCTATGGAAGGAGTATTTACCCCATAGTAATCAGCAGATGTTGCACAACAGAGCATTTTTACTTCCAGAGAGATTGCTGTTAAACATTTATCAGATCACCCTTTGACAGAGTTAGGAGCACAGCCTAAAGATGTAGTTACACTACCATGGATTCTTAGCCATTGGGCAACAATGGGAATAGTTAAGATACCTAATATCCAAAGATATATATATATATATATTCCTGTTGTTCATCGATTTGCTCAAGCGGGCCTTGTAACATTGTGAGACTTGTTACTGTGTTTGGCATATTGAATACGTCACAGATAGCTTGCCAGGCTTTGCCATGTGGGCGTAATACTCTCGGTAGCTTGCTGGGCTCTCCGAGAGGGGTGAAGGAATCAAACTCAGGTCGGCCATGTTGGCTGCGTGCAAGGCAAACACCCTACCCACTGTGCTATATATATATCTGAATATATATATAGATGTACAAGTATGTATATATATATTTGTGAAGTGGAATCAATACTACAGTACATATTGGATGCTTTATGTAGAATCCCCCTGGAAATGCTTCCCTGGTGATGGGAGCCTGGTGATTCACTTGGGCCCAGTGGTGCTTGAGGGCTATCAGGGCCACATGTGGTGGTGCTTTGGGAGCCATATAGTGGTAGTTATGGGACACTGGGCCTCAAACCTGCTAGGTAAGTATGTGCTCTACCACTTGAGTGGCCTCCCCATCCCTCACTGGGGTACTATCAGTGCTTCAGTATTTAGCACGGTGCCAGTAACATACATGTGCCAATAAGAGACCACAGGGTACAGATGTCAAGGCACTTGCCTTGCATGTGGTCAACTCTGTTGCTCCCTGAACACTGGCAGGAATGACCCCTGAGCACAGAGCCTGAGTATATCTGAGTGTGGCCCAACGTTCGCTGATCTTACACCCTCCATCAAATAAAAACGTGCCAAGAGTCATAAGTCAATTAATATAATTATTCATGAAAAGCAAGAATGAACTGTGTAGGAAATACATTCTAGACAAATCAAACGAAATAATGCCTGTTGGAGGAGATGATAAGCAGAGGACTCTGGTCCACTTGGAAATTTATGTCTAAATTTATGTCTAAGCCTTCTAGGCTCAGGGCCAGGGACTCCAGTCTCTGCTCCGGACAGTCTCCTGCCCCAACAGCTGCCTAGCTCAGCCCTCGGTGGGCTCCAGGAGTGACAGATCAGAGGTAGCATGTACTCAACACAGGGACAGAGAGTCAGTGTAGCTTAACCCTAGCCCCTGGCAAAGCAAGAGGAAGCCCAATCGATGAGTACATCTGTGGACCCCATTTTGGGCTAATGAGAGAGAACATTGCATGGAAAAATCGGGGGGAAAAGGTCGAATTTTTCTAGACTTGAATTCTTTAGGAAATCAAGCAAGAGACTGATACTGAACTGTCCAAACCTCCCCTAAGGCAGTAGCCGGTTACATGGAGAGGGAATGTGCCAGGAGCTGAGACATCAGGAAAGCTGGGAAGCCCGCTTCAGGGAGGAAAATCTGGGATTGGCTCTGGGGAGGGGTGGCGGGCATTGATACCTGTGGCCTCCAGAGGGCGCTCAGGCTCAAGTATGAACGAGCACCTTCTACGCTGCCATGCTAGAGGGCGGGGTATGTCGCAGGATAGGAAGAAGCAGCCACTGAGGTGAGAAGAAAAATCACACCAACCCCGTCTTGGATCCCCTGAGAAGAGTTATCTAGTGCCAGCTTTGCCATCATAGCCACAGGACAGGTTCCCAAAGCAGACCTATTTCTTTGTCTCTCAGCTTTTGCTCCAAACTTGATCTCCAGCTCCACATTGCCTGCAAGACTGCTGACCTCGTTCCTGGGGATGGGGGCAGGGAATGGGGCAGGGAGCAAAGAGGAAGGTTCCAGTAGTGGTACTTCAGCCACCTTAGAGTAGACAAAATAACTACAGACTAGCAGGAAAGAGGTGACTTCGGGCTGGAGATCACTCCAGCGGGTGATCTGCACAGTGGGTAGGGCGTTTGGCGGGTTTGACCTGGGTTTGATTCCCAGCATCCCATATGGTCCCCCTGAGTAAGTAATTCATGAGTGCAGAGTCAGGAGTAACCCCTGAGTATCGCCGGGTGTAACCCAAAAAGAAAATTTAAAAAAAAAAACAAGAAAGAAGAAAAAAAAGGAAAGAAAAGAAAGAAAGAAAGAAAGGAAGGAAGGAAGAAAGAAAGGAAGAAAGAAAGAAAGAGAGGTCACTTCTGGGATGGAGAGATCCGGATCTGGGAAGGGTACCTGAGCTATGTGGGAAAGACAGGCAAGCTTTCAGAAGCAAGTGCAGTTACCAGCTCCCAGTGAATGTGCTGTGTCCCCTCAAGGAGTCTGGTAGGGGTCTTCTGGACCATCAGACCTTCATGATGGTTTTCAGGACCAGTATACCCTCACCATGGGCATCCAGAAACCACAGACTCTCACGCACTACAGACTTTCAGGCATGAAAGCTCCCATTTTTCCCAGACAGACTCAGTGAAATCTTAGGACACAGAGCTACCGTTCTGGAACTAGAGACAGCTGTTGAGGGGGTTGCTAATGAAAGGTCACTCGGCACTGGGAGGGGGAAATCCCAGGAGGGTTATATAATGTTTCGAGATTGAGCGGGAAGGAAGGAGTGAGGGGGAGTCTGGGAGAGGTGGCCTAGTGCCCAGAAGTTGGGGTGAGCAGGTCCTGCCGGGTATGCCCTGTACGGGAGAAGCTGTGGGTGTCGGGCATCTGCTGGAGAAACTGTGGCACTCTCCAGGTAAAACGAGTTCATCGTTGCCCACTAGCCAAAGAGGGAGGAGGACTGATGCTAACAAGGCATATTTTCATTCGTAAGTCTGTAGAGGACACTGAATCCCGTGGCAGAGACCCGGTCATGTGGTGCTCTCGAGAGTCTGGCAATCTTTGTTTTCCTGTTGGAGAGCCCTTTGCAGAAAAGAAAAGTCCTGTCTAAGACCTTCGCTGGTGGTGCAGAGGGATGTCAGGGGCACTGAGCAATCGCAGTGGGAGCAGGTCCTTTCAGCTCGGGCTAGGGAACAAGTCCTGGAACCCCAGCCTGTCCCATATATGAATGTCCATAATTGTCTTCCTTCTCAGATGGACATAGGGTGGGCCTGGGGGGTGTTCCCTGGGGGTGCTGAGGAGAGCAGGCTCTGGAGACAGCAGGTGAGATCCCAAGGCTACAGGAGGGGAGGAAGGGAGTATGTAGACCATAAGATGGAAGGCAGTGACAGGGAACTATGACTGCCATCACTTTATGCCTCCCAGCACAGCACACCCCAATCCCTAATGCCCCCCTTATCACAGAGGAGGAGCGTTATTACCCGTTTGACTAGGACACTGGCAATACTAGTACTTGAAACCCACTTGTTTTCATTTATCAATGGTTCACTGGACACCCATTACATGTAAGGTGAGACTGAAGACCCAAAACAATGGGAGAAGAAGCAACAAATAAATAACAGATGAAATCATTTCAAGTGTTAGCAAGTGCCATGGAAGAAACAGGCTTGAGTCAAATGACTGGCTCAGGTGGTGGAGAAAATTTCCATGGCAAAGATTACATTTAAGCGAGAATTAGCTGTCAATACTATGAATGCTTTGACAGTATAAAAAAAAAGTTTTATTTATCTTGTGATTGGCAAATAAAGCATTTCCTTCTTGATGGGAACTACCACAAGAAAGACCAATGACTGGTAGTCTCTCCCCCTACCCCTTACTGTCAGCCTTTCCCCAGGCAGGTGATTTTTGCAAAGCTGGTAGAGGTGGGTTAGGGGAGGGACTTGGACATTTGGTGACAATGAAACATTATTGACCCAACAAGACCAAAGCTGAAGAGGCTTGGGAAACCCCCTAGAATTTACCTAAGGGAGGAAAAAAAATCAGCTCTCTGAATTAGTCTCCCTCCTCCCACCCCCCTCTCTCTGAAATATGAATGATTTTTGCTGTCTTAAAACAGGGCTCTTTGTATACAAAACCTGTTTCCTCCTTTCTCTCCCATTGCAGAGGAAAAATCAGAAGGTGATCCAACATAGCTCTAGCCCTTTCCAAGCTGAACGGGCAGCCAGCCATCCCTGAGGTGATGAAAGCCGTGCTCGGCACCAACAGCCCTGGCCAGTCCCTGCTAATAAGTCAGCGAAGGGGGTGGGGGCTTCCTGCCGGGAAGAGTCAGTCCTGGACACAACTTTCTGTCCAGACCCTGACCTTATTTGCAGTGGTGTAATCAGCCAATATTGGCAGAGTCCTAAGAGACAGTTTCATCCCAGCAGGCCTGGCGGCGGGGGTGGTGCTGTGGCCACCTCTATATAAGGAGCTCAGCAGGTGCCCAGAGCTGTCCTGGCCTTTCCAGCTCAACATGGCTAAGGCACTGCTTGCACTCGGGTTATTGGGCCTCTGCTGGCCGCTGGACATTGCCCACCCTCTTTCTCTGTGAGTAAAGCTGGGCCTAGGAATGGAGGACTGGGGTCTAGGCTAGAGTGGAACAGGGCCAGTTTTCCTACGGGGAAAGTTTGACTGAGGGACTGAAAGTGTGACTGGGTTCTGTGTTCCCAGATATCTCTCTGTTTTCTCTCCAGGACTGGTGGTCCCAGAAACACAGCCGAAGGTAGAAATGAGACCCAGCCGAAACCAGACATGGCGGGTGAGCCCCTGACTCCCTGAGTCTGTTTCTCTGTGTATCTGTGTCTGATCACCTCACTGACCTTTTTCTCTGTGAAATCCCACCTCCACCCCAGAACTCTGCTCGGATGACTGGAGCTTCGACACTATGACCCTGGATGACAACGGGGCCATGCTGTTTTTCAAAGGTAGGAGGGTTTAAGGGTGGGAGACATTAGGATCTCAAATTTGATCTCCTTGCAAACAGTGAATGCAGCTGTACAAGATCTTGGGCATCATCTGAGAGCATCATTTGCTGCTTCTCGGTGCCATTCTCAGTTGGCCTAAGGTTTGTTCCGGTTTCCTGAGTGAATATGTACTTTTCAGGGGAGTTCATGTGGAGGAGTCATAGCTGGACCCGGGAGCTAATCTCAGACAGGTGGAAGAATTTCAACAGCTCAGTGGATGCTGCATTCCGCCACGGGCATGACAGCGTCTTCCTGATCAAGGTACTGTGTGAATGGGGGTCAGGGCTTTGTCAGGAATTGCTGGGTTTGGCATCGCAGACACTCCCCCGAGGGACCCTGGCACTGACCTTTTGCCAATGTGCTCACTTTTCTCCCCTGGTCCTTTCCTTCTACCCAAAAACTCAAGCTAAGAGAGTGTATGTGTACGTGGATCTGGCAGGCAGGCACAATGGACGGTTGCTCTTGTCCAGTCCCCGGCTTCATTCATTTTTTTTTTTTTGCTTTTTGGGGGGGTTTACATCCTGTGACGCACAGGGGTTTCTCCTGGCTCTGCACTCAGGAGTCACCCTGGTGGTGCTTGGGGAACCATGTGGGGTGCCGGGGATTGAACTCAGGTCAGCTGTGTGCAAGGCAAATGCCCCATCCGCTGTACTATGGCTCCAGCCCCCTGAGCTTCATTCAGACCTTTTCTTGGCCTACTTGCCACCCCTCCCTTTCCTTGGCTTCCGTGACCCTGCTTCAGGTCCTCGGTGGCCAGATTCGCTTACAATAGCAAGCGGGGTATGAAATCCAGCACGCTCTTCGCAGCAAGTCCCATGCTCTGTCCCAGGCTGTGTCTGGCAGAGGAGGGTGCTAGGGTGCTCTCTCCTAACTTGTGTCAAGACACTGTGTGGTTGGGTGGTCTGCTCTGCCACTATGTTTACCTTCTGCTTCTTTTTGGTTTTCTTTTGTTTTTCTTTAAGGGCCACACTCAGCAGTACTCAGGTATTACTCTTGAGTGTGTGCTCAGGGAGTACTCCTGGTGGGCTTGGGGGACCATGTGGGATGCTGGGCACTGAACCCAGGTCAGCTATGTGCCAGGCAAATGCTCTATGCACTATACAATTGCTCGGGCCCCTCCTTCTGCTTCTTTCTCTGCTCTTCTCACTTTTCACATCCCCAGCTAGTACCCGAACATTGTGTGGGGTACCCGATCCCAGTCTTGTCTTTCCTTCCTTGCCTTCCTTCTCTTCTTCCCTTCCTCCTTCCCTCCCTCCCTTCCTCCCTTCCTCTTTCCCCTCCCTCCCTTCCTTCCTTCCTTCCTTCCTTCCTTCCTTCCCTTCCTTCCCTCCTCCTTCCCTCCCTCCCTCCCTCCCTTCCTTCCTTCCTTCCTTCCTTCCTTCCTTCCTTCCTTCCTTCCTTCCTTCCTCCCTCCCTTCCTTCCCTCCTCCTTCCCTCCCTCCCTTCCTTCCTTCCTTCCTTCCTTCCTTCCTTCCTTCCTTCCCTTCCTTCCCTCCTCCTTCCCTCCCTCCCTCCCTCCCTTCCTTCCTTCCTTCCTTCCTTCCTTCCTTCCTTCCTTCCTCCCTCCCTTCCTTCCCTCCTCCTTCCCTCCCTCCCTCCCTTCCTTCCTTCCTTCCTTCCTCCCTCCCTTCCTTCCCTCCTCCTTCCCTCCCTCCCTTCCTTCCTTCCTCCCTCCCTCCCTCCCTCCCTCCCTTCCTTCCTTCCTTCCTTCCTTCCTTCCTTCCTTCCTTCCTTCCTCCTTCCCTTCCTTCCTTCCTTCCTTCCCTTCCTTCCCTCCTCCTTCCCTCCCTCCCTCCCTTCCTCCCTTCTTCCCTCCCTCCCTCCCTCCCTCCCTCCCTCCCTCCCTTCCTTCTTTCCTTCCTTCCTTCCTTCTTTCCTTCCTTCCTTCCTTCCTTCCTCCCTTCCTCCCTTCCTCCCTTCCTCCCTTCCTCCCTTCCTCCCTTCCTCCCTTCCTCCCTTCCTTCCTTCCTTCCTTCCTTCCTTCCTTCCTCCCTCCCTCCCTCCCACACCCAGCAGCAGTGCTTAAGGCTTACTCCTGGCTTTCTTCTTCGGAATCACTCTTGGTAGTACCTGTGTGACCATATGTGGTGAGGGGATTGAGCTCAGGCCAGCCCCATGCAGGGCAAGTGCTTTTCCTGCTGTACCATCTCTCCAACCCCCGGTCGTCCTTTAGCCATTCTCCCCAGAAATTCTTCACTGCTGCCGTGATTCTTGGGCTCTCAAGACATAAATCTCTCCCCATGCTCCAGACAGCTCTTTCCTAATTCCTGGCTGATATTGCTTAGATGTTCTGTGGTTACCTCATTTCATAGCCCTCAAACTGAATTTAGTATCTTCCTTACAAACCCACCCTCCTTCTGTGTCTCCTATTTCAATAAATAATCACCATGGCTCAGTTACTACAAGTGCACAGGGGTCTTAAGGTCTGGTGCTTCATTAATTTTTTCCTCCTCTCCTGCCACAAAGTGTAGTAGTCACACAAGACTGAGCGTATTCTGTATATGCTGCTTCTTCTGTTGGTTAACACACTTTTCCTGCTTGTTCACCTGGAAAATTCTCCCTCAGTTTTCAACTCTTTGCCCCAAAGTTCCCTGCCCTGTGAAGCCTTCAGGAATAAGTTGACATAGCAGCCCTTACCTCCTATACTACCTCTCTGGTCCTCTACAATATGCTACTTAAAAACAGACATAGAAAGTTTTATAACTTCCTTAGTCCCAGTATCTCCCCCAATATCTGGCATGTAGTATAATACCTGGCATTTGGCAACTGTTTTTTTAAAGGAATGAATGAGTTAATAAAAGTACAAACAGGGGGACAGGGTCTGGAATGAAAGTACAGCAGGGAGGGCATTTGCCTTGCACACGGCTAACCCGAGTTTGATCCCCAGTATTCCATACAGTCTTCCGAGCACTGGCAGGAGTAGTTCCTGAATGCAGAGCCAGGAGTAACCCCTAAAGCATTGCTGGATGTGACCAAAAAAGCCAAAATAATAACAACAACAACAAATATGAGGACAACTGCAGGATGACTCCTTGTGAATGTGCCCACCACGACTAGTGGCATTGCTTATTATATACAGCCAGATGGATGCGCTAGGCTAATAGTGATGGGGTTTGCAGATTCCAACTGGGTTATTCCTTTGTGTAAGGGGACAGTACACGGCTCTTCAGAGATCAATTACATGAACATAGAAAGATTAGTATAAGTGCAGTAGCGTGAAGATACTGTGAGTGTACACAGAGCAGCAATGTTTGGTATGTATAATTAAATTGCCCCAGAGCTTTGGGCAAGAACAGCAAAACTGACTCCTAGACTGAGAGAAAACAATGGTGGTTATCAGAGGGAAAATGGTACAGGATAAGAAGAGGGATCACTTTTTTTTTCTTTTTGCTCTTTGGGTCACACCTGGTGATGCACAGGGGTTACTCCTGGCTCTGCACTCAGGAATTACTCCTGGCAATACTCGGGGGACCATATGGGATGCTGGGAATTGAACCTGGGTTGGCCGTGTTTAAGGCCAACCCTCTGTGCTATCGCTACAGCCCTGAAGAGGGGTCTTTTGAGTGGTAGGATGGCACTGGAAATTTGGTGGTCAGAGTAGTGAAAATTATACACAGGGAGAGATGAAACACTAACCTCTGAAATTTCATAATAGTGCAATTATAAATTATAAATCAATACAATTGCTAAAAAACCACATGATTTTGTATGTAGGGGGACAAAGTCTGGCTGTTCTCTCCTGAGATGAAGAAAGAATATCCACAGCTGCTCCAAGATGAGTTTCCTGGAATCCCATCGCCAGTGGATGCAGCGGTGGAATGTCACCGTGGGGAATGCCAAGATGAGGGTGTCCTCTTCTTCCAAGGTCAGTGCAGGCTGGAGTACGAGAACCTGGAGCAGAGGTGGGTGGGTGTGGATGGAGGTGGTGGTGGAACTGCTGTATGGCTTCCAGGGAAGAAAAAAAAAAAATAGAGAAGTCAGTTTTGCTTTAGCCGTCAAGTAAAGGAAGGAGAAAAGTCATCCTTGGCAGGCAACTAGGTACAATTTTGCTGAAAGTTCCTTGTTGTTGGGGCTGGAGCACTGGTATAGTAAGTATGGTGTTTGCCGGAGTTCAATCCTGGGATCCTATATGGTCCCCGGAGCACCACCTGAATGAATTCCTGAATGCAGAGCCAGTAGTAATCCCAGAACATCACGAGGCATGCCCCTCCCCACCAAAAAAAAAAAAAAAGTTCCTTCTTGTTCTCCTGTGATCTTTAGGACAAATCTGTGCCCTTTAGTCATACAAGATTTACCAGAAACCAGCTCCAACTAGTACTCTATTTCCACACTCATACACTTACCTCGAAAGCAAAATTGCAAAAGCTGTTCCATCCATCCATATGCAATTTGCTTCATACCTCAGACTTGTGTCCTTTGGATTTGCCATTCATCCTGTTGTCTACCTTGCGATTCCTGCTTCAGTTTCAGTTTAGATGTTTCCTTCTTCACATGAGTTCCCTGATTCCCCATTGTCCTTGATGAGCTGATCACACGCTCTCTGCTGCTGGATTTTATTGTAAGGTCATTCATCTGCCTCCCTACGGCTGTGAGCCATATGTGTCCAGAACCACATCTAGCCATTCTAAGCTCTAGGCAAACGCTGGGAGGGGGAAGCCCAGACTCACGAATGCTTATTGATTGGACAAAGGTAACCGCACGTGGTTCTGGGACATGACCACCAAAACCAAAAAGGAGCGCTTCTGGCCAGCTGTTCAGAACTGCTCCTCTGCTCTGCGATGGATCGGCCGCTACTACTGCTTCCAGGGAAATCAGTTCCTGCGCTTTGACCCAGTCACAGGAGAGGTGCTTCCTAGGTACCCTCTGGATATGCGAGACTATTTCATGCCCTGTCCTGGCAGAGGTAAGAAATCTCCAGCCCCTAGTGCCTATTGGAAGTCAGATGCCCCACCCCCACTCCCCCCGAGTTTGCAGACCCCCCTATATCTACCTCCTCACCTTGACTTTCAGCTCAGTGCCATTCCCATTATGGCTCTTCCCCTTTGTTCTCCTATGGGGGAGCCTACAACCCCACTAACCCCACACAGCTCTTCCAGCAATAGACCTGTGGTGGAAGGTCCAACACACTCTGATGTGTGAACTCCCTCTGTGTTCCTCTTGTCTATTTCCTCACCCAGGCCACGGACAAAGGACTAGGCCCAAGAACAGTACCCACCCTATGCACATGCGCTGTAGCCCGGATCTAGTCTTGTCTGCACTGCTGTTTGACAACCATGGTGCCATTTATGCCTTCAGTGGTGAGAGATGACCCTCAACTCCCCCCATTTCTGTTCTCTGTACCCCATGTATGTCTCTCAACTTTAATGCTTTTCCTCCATTTTCATTGCTGTGTCCCTTATTTCATCTCCTCAGTCCCTCCTCCGCACACATCTGTGATGCTTATCCTTTAATCTTCTCTCTCCTGGCTGAGATCTCTAACTTCATCCACCTGTCTATCTTCCAGTACTATCAACCCTTAATGTCTGTGCCCTCTTCAGATCTCTCCGGGTAACTGCAACACTTCCCGTCTCCCTTGCCCTCTGTTGAGTCCTCTAGCTCCCCCTTGCTTTCTGGGCTTCTCAGTTTCTAGAACTCCTTATGAATCATTCGCTCTTGCATGTCATGTAAGGTTCCTCTGACTTCCTCCAAACGTATCCTCGGGAGTACCAGCTTTTTCTAGGAGCCTGGTTGCTATGTCCTGGTCTCTGGCATGGCATTACCCAGGGGATAGGATATTCCCATAGCTGAGAACCAACTAAGAAACATTGCAGCCCTTAGATCTTTAAGATAGTGTCACTAATTGGAGGAGGTTTCTTCTGTAAGAAGCTCTTCTCCCCAGATCTGTGGCATCAAATGATATAAGCCATCTAGAGGTGTTCTGGGATTAATCAGGCAGCTAGTGGTGAGTCTTGCTTTACAGTTGAGAGTAGCTCCAAGAGAAAGAATGGAAAAACACATTCATCCTGAGATATATTTATGATCAGACACAAAGGAATGTATAGCAGTAAGAACATGGAATTAAAAAAATATTTTTCTTAGCTTCTAACCCCTGACCAAATATGGCTGTCAAGATATAATTTGAGATATACATTCATGGTGAAAGAAGGAATAGGCACAGGGATGGAATGGACATCAGGAATGAACTCAGTGATGAAAACAGCTGACAGAGATAAAGCACACACCTAGAGTAAATTACAGATCTAGAGAACTTATAAGCATCAGGAGAACATGCAGCTATGGTGAGGGTATAGAAGGAAGGAGAGAGAGAAAGAGAGAGAGAGAGAGAGAAATAGGAAAGAGAGAGGCTGATTAAGGAAACAGTATTTCCATACAAAGATATAGAGAGAACAACATCTGGCTATCTCTGAGGAAGTTACTAGTTAAAGCTAAAAGATTATGAGGGGCGGGAGCGATAGCACAGCGGGTATGGCGTTTGCCTTGCATGCGGCCAAACCAGGTTTGATTCCCAGCATCCCATATAGTCTCCTGAGCATCACCAGGAGTAATTCCTGAGTGCAGAGCCAGGAGTAACCCTTGAACATCGCCTGGTGTGACCCAAAAAGCAAAATAACAATAATAATAATAATAGATCATGAATAGAGAAGTGAGAAAGGACATAACAGACCATGGACTTGCCAGAATTGTGCAAACGCAGAGAGAGGGGCCAGAGAGATAGCATAGCTGGTAAAGTGCTTGTCTTGCATGTGGATAGCAGCACCACGTACAGTCCCCCAACCCACTCCAGGAGGTATTGAAAAATGGGTTGAGGAAGGAAATTAAACACTAGTTTAGTCAACTCCTTTGCTAATTGTTATGTTATGACACAAAAATTATTATGAAAAAGGGTGAACAGAATTTGGGTGCTGGTCTAGGTTCCCCCTCACTCCCCTAACAGTGAACACAGCGAAGGGGGGGAGGGAAGAGAGAGAGAGACAGAGAGACAGAGAGAGACAGAGGGATACAGAGAGAGACAGAGAGAAAGGACTCAGTGGAAGCTTGCGTTGGTACTTCCCTTTTAAGTATTACATTTTGTCTATATAGCATTCCCGCCCCTGGATATCTGAATGGTAGAGGGAGTCCCCCACTAAACCCTGTGACATTGGCCTTACCCAGCAATTTGGCCACTATCAGGGCCCTTCTGACTCTGGTTCCAATCGAGTGACACTGCCCAGCATTGCTAATCAAAGTGAATTTGACTTCTCCCTCCCCCCACCTCTTAGCCTCCATCTATACTCTTTTGTCTCTTTCTGGATACTTCCTGCATCTTTCACTAGTCTATACTGCCTCTTTTTCCTCTCCTAGCAGTAACTCTGATACCCCAACAGGGACCCACTACTGGCGTCTGGACTCCAGAAAGGATGGGTGGCACAGCTGGCCCATTTCCCATGTGTGGCCCCAGGGTCCTTCAATAGTGGATGCTGCCTTTTCCTGGGAGGACAGACTCTATCTGATCCAAGTATGTGTTTAGAGAGAAGCTTGAGGAGGAGCCTGGGGAATATCCAGCTCTCTGCTGATTCTTGTCCTTTGTCCCCCAGGGCACTCAGGTCTACATCTTTCTGACAAAGGGAGGCTATCCCCTAGTAGAAGGTTATCCAAAGCGACTGGAGAAAGAGATTGGGAGCCCTTACGGGATCAGCCTGGCTTCTGTGGATGCAGCTTTTGTCTGTCCTGGGTCTTCTCGGCTCCATGTCATGGCAGGTAAGAGACATCTGAGTACCAAGGATGACTTTTTCTGCCACCTCTCCATGGCATATATTTGAGAAGGATTTGGTCAAGATCCTCTGACATGTTGTGTCTGGTGCCTTCTTCCCAGGACGGAAGCTGTGGTGGCTGGACCTGAAGTTAGGAGCACAAGCCACGTGGACAGAACTCCCTTGGCCTCATGAGAAGGTTGACGGAGCCCTGTGTATGGAAAAGCCCCTTGTCCCCAACTCATGTTCCACTAGTGGTCCCACCATATACCTCATTCACGGTCCCAATTTGTACTGCTACAGTGATGTGGAGAAACTGAGCTCAGCCAAGGCCCTTCCCCAGCCTCAACGAGTGGCTGACCTCCTGGGCTGCAGCCACTGAAAGGGCTCCTACTGCGAACCTGCTTCCTTCTCCCTGGTTTCCTTAAAATAAAGCCATGGTGCTGCTTCACTTGAACTGTGGGCGTCTGGTTGTGGGACAGTCTCACATTTCCCTTTGAACTGAGACGTTAGTAATCTCTATTTTGAGGTGTTCCCATTTAAACAAGGCAGTGAGAGGCAGGGCTGGCAAAGATCAAGTCTCATTTGTGCACAGATGATGATGAAAAGATCACAAACTTTTTCCTCAGTCTGTCTATATAGAAATAAGGGTTAAATGTAGCGAAAGGGGCTACTGTTTTTATACAGCAAGTAAGAAGCAGAACAGAGTGTTGTGTTCAGGGATCATTCTTCGCGGTGATGAGGTAAAATGCTGTTCTGGCATCAAGCCTCGGTGAGCAACATACAAGGCAAGTGCCTTAACCCCTGTACTATCTCTCTGGCCCCTAAACAACTTTACTTTGGGTTTGTTTTTGGACCATACCCAGTGATGCTTAGGGGTTATTCCTGTCATGGCTCTTAGGAAATACTCCTGGCAGTGCTTGGGGGACCATATGGGATACTGGGGATTGAACCCAGGTCTGCAATGTGCAAGGAAAGTGCCCTCTGTACCGGCTGTACTATCTCTCCAGCCCCAAAGACTTCTTTTTTCTTTTCTTTTAAACAATACATTTATTTCTCTATACCCTTTCATTTCAATTCAATCTAACTGTAAAAAGAAAACAACAAAACTTTATGGCATCAAATATGAATGAATTCACATTCCAGTTAGACCTTTAACTCTGTATTGAGAAACTTACTCAGCCTCTCTGAGTCTTTTGTGTATGGTCTGTGTGCTTGCTCACATGTGTATGCAAAATAGGAATGTATATATAATCACTGTTCAATAAAGACAGAGAAATCATTCTAAATATTCCAAATAGGGAAGGATTTCCCTATGTCACAATCCGGGCTGGAGCGATAGCACAGCGGGTAGGGCGTTTGCAAACGGCCGACCCGGGTTGGATTCCTCTGTCCCTCTCAGAGAGCCTGGCAAGCTACCGAGAGTATCCCGCCCACATGGCAAAGCCTGGCAAGCTCCCCGTGGTGTATTTGATATGCCAGAAACAGTAAAAGTCACACAACGGAGACATTATTGGTGCCCGCTCGAGCAAATGAATGGACAACGGAAGGGCAGTGCTACAGTGCTACAGAGAAGGATTTAATGCAAGGACGTTGTTGCAAAGTTGTTGGAGGAAATATAGAGAAGCATAAGGGAAAGAAGGGAAAGAAAGGTTACCAAGAGACCAGGAAGCTACTACTAATCTTGGCTTGGAAGAGAGAAAAGAAGAAAAAGTATTGCTCCAAGATCAAGTTGCTGGAATCTACAAATCTGCAGTATCCACTGATTGTGGTTGGATTCTGTATTACTAACTCTGCTGGAACTGCCTCTACTTTTGTTAGGGAAGAACCACAGATATTGCCAGAGGCACTGGCAGGAGCCAGAGAGTCTCCCGTCCTCCCACTTGGAGCTCTCACTTGAGAGTTCCCATTGGCAGAAGCTAACTGGGATAAAGTGAGTTTGAGAAGTGTGTTTTCCAGATTTATAGCTGGAAGATGGATGTGAAGATGGTTCTAAGGAACAATATCTGCCACATTAATTTACCGTAACTTGTAGTTGTTATAAGTGATAAAACTCAATTCAAAAGTGATGCCAATAATGTAAACAAATAATCAAAGCTTTGAACACCCCCCCCCCAACAAACTTAGAACTCTCTGGCAAAAGATGGCAAAAACTAGATATTTTGAGGTTTGTAGTTTTATGTTTTGGGGGGCCATAGCTGGCAATACTCAAGGATTACTCCTGGCTTTGCCTCAGGAATCAATCCTGGAGGTGTTCCAGGAACCATATGAAGTGCAGGTAATTGAACCTTGGTTTGGCTGCCTGTAAGAAAAGTTCTCTGCCTCCGTTTTCTCTGCCCCCAAAGACATGTCATTTGAAGAATGTGACAGACACTTTTGGGGATAGGGGAATGGGGGGTCGGGGGGGAGTGGGAAAGGATGTATCTGGCGGTGCTCAGGGCTTACTCCTGGGTCTATGGTCAGGGATTACTCCTGGGGGATCTCTGGGGACCATATGGGTGCCAGAAATGGATCCTGGGTAGGCCACATGTAAGGCAAATGCCCTACCATTTACTATCACTTTGGCCCCATGAATTGTACATTTGTGCTGATAAGATCCCAGATGCCTGGCTGGACAATACTGATAAGTGGAGACTGAAATGGAGACTACTTATCAATCCTTACCATCATGAAAACATATACCCCTGATGATATTTCTCTATCACATCCTATACATGCAATTTATGTCCACTGTCTATTCCTCAACCATACATATTCTTTCCCCTTATGAATATGTATGAGTTTTCTGAAAAACTATTAAATATGTATAGACTGTGATATCACTCTAGCTCTACCAGGCATAAAACGAGACTCCAATTCCTCTCTTTGAAACTTACTCTACATCTGTGCTATTCCTTCTTGTTTTCCTGATAATAATAATGCCCCCCCATTTTTTATTTTTCATTTTTTATAATTTTATTTATTGAATCACCGTGAGAGCAGTTACAAAGCTTTCAGGTCTAAGTCTTGGTCATACAATGAAACACCTGTACCTTCACCAGTGACCATTCTCCACCACCAAAAACCCCAGTATACCCCCATCCCACACCCTCCCCCTACCTGTGGGGCAGATGATTTCCACATTACTCTCTCTCTACTTTGATCACATTCAATATTTCGACACCAGACCCACCATTATTATTTGAGATTTTACCCCAACTCTCAGATCTGCTGAAAAGGCAACAGTAGACTATTTGTGTTCTATTGCTGGCTATGAATAACATATGATGTCGCATGATTGCAGTAGGGCCATGTGATTTTGAAATTGCGAAATTTTAACACTTAAATCTGGAGGAATTTCTGCCAAAAGCCACTGGGTTTCGAGATTTGCTCCTGAGTCACTGGGACCATGGCCATTGAGCAGCTTGATCAGGAGCCAGAGAGGCCGTTCGTGGGCGATGACTTGGGGTCTTGTTGGGACGGGGAGACCAGGACTGGCTCCACCCCCATCCTGTGAGGCCCAACAAGTTTCGTCACTGCGGGCCCAGACCTGACTGTCCAATGGCCTCTGGAGGATGACAGCCACTAAGATGCCAAGGGGGAGCAGGCGGAGGGACAACATCCTTTCCTCCCTGGGGTGGCCCAGCAACAGTAATGTACTGTGGGGTTTCTGCCAAAAGCCACTGAGTTTAGAGATTTGTTTCTGAGTCTCTGGGATCATGGCCATTAAGCAGCTTGATCAGGAGCCAGAGAGGCCATTCGTGGGCGATGACTTGGGGTCTTGTTGGGGTGGGGAGGACAGGACCGGCTCCACCCCCATCCTGTGAGGCCCTGCGTGTCTAGTCACTGGGGGCCCAAACCTGACTGTCCAGTGGCTTCTGAAGGATGGTGGCCACTGGGCCGCCGGGGGGAACAGGCCAAGGCACGAAACCTATTTCCACCTGGATTGGCCCAGCACCGGTAACCTACTGCAGGGACCGGACGCATTTCTGCCAAAATCCGCTGGGTTTCGAGATTTGTTTCTGAGTCTCTGGGATCATGGCCATTAAGCAGTTCGATCAGGAACCAGAGAGGCCATGCCTCCAATTATATAGCTGAGCCAGAGGTGGTTTGTGGGTGTGTTTCCCACATACCTAATTTTTGGCTGTTTACTTTCTTTGTAAACTTCCCCCAAGTTTTTGGGGTCTGGCCAAAGGCACAGCAGCAATTTTGGGGTATCTGTAAATCTCAAGGCACCATCAGGCTGCTGATGCACTCGCCTCACAGGTACAGATTGACCTGCTGGCGGCACCATACTCCCAGCCCCTTTTTTCTATTTAGTTGTTTCTGTGAATTTTTGAATGGCAGTAAAATAAAATTTATTGATATTATGTGAATCTAGACAGTGATAAACAAGTGTTAATGTTATCAGACATCTGTCTCCATTCCTTAGTTCTGCTTCTGGAAATTGATTTTATTTTCAGGTATGCTCATCCTTCAAGGTCATAAGATGTCCACCAGATTTAGATTTTACCACCACTTCTTGTCCAATAATTTCTGGAAATTTCCTGAATTTATTTCACAGTCTCAAATTTAGCCATCTCTAAATTGATCAGTTTGATACTGATAGGGCAATCAGGGGTTAGGAGTGTGACACTGAAGTGGGATGATTCCCTTAGAACTTAACAGACTAATGGAGAGTGGGGCAGATGGGTCCTAAAAGAAAATCGAGAAGCCAGAGTTATAGTACAGCAGATTAGGCACTTGACTTGCATGAGGCTGACCCAGTTTTGATCCCCGGTAACCCCCTACAAGCTCTCCAGAAATAACTACTGTGTGCAGAGTCAGGAGTAAGCCCTGAGCACGCTGAGTGTACCCCTAAACAAAAATAAATAAAGTAGTAATGAAAAAAAGAAAATTGTTGTGCTGTTACCAATAAAAGGAAAATGGATGCTGGACAGATAACAACAGCGGTAACCATGTTTGTAACATAATAATACTTTATAACAGTTCTGTTTTCCATTCAACTTTCCTTCCCCTTCCTCTTATAAAGTCACTGAAAACACTGATACATAATATGCTTAAAACTTTATCCAGCTCCTACCTTTTAAATTACCTTATCTTTTCTATCTTTTTTGTTTATTTGTTTGTTTATTTTGGGGGGTCACATCCAGCAGTGCTCAGGGGTTACTTTGGATCCACACTCAGTAATTACTCCTGGCAGTGCTGGGGGACCAAACTGGGGATTTATGCCATGTGCAAGGCAAATGCCCACCCGCCTGTACTATCGTTCTAGCTCTCCACCTTTCTTTAGCCTATAAAAGTATATATTTTTCTCTATAATCCTAGATCCCATTCCCTCTCAGCACCCCTACGATCTCCCTCCATATCTCATCTTCCTTTTTCTTTTAATTTTAGTTTTTGTGGGATCACTCTGCCCCCATGCCTAGATGTCTTCACTGGCCCCTTGGAGGGGAGTGGGTTGAGTTTCCC